CTTTTGTATAAAAGTATTATATTTTATATTATAACCTAATACCTTTTATTTTTAAATTTATAAAATTAAATGTGTTTTATTTATATACGTGCTTATGCACATATATATTTTTTTGTAGGAACAAATGGAGAACATTCTCAATCAGGAGCCTGAAGAAGGTTCTCAGCCACCTACTCAATTAGAAGATCACTCAACAGGTTTTAGGAAAAAACGGTTATTATCGTGGATTAGGTTATGTCCAAAACCACCTGCATCTCGAAGACTAGAAGGCGAGCGATCAAGATGTTTTAGAGGAACTCACACACTTGCAGAGAGGTGCAAGAACTATGAGGCATAAGGGAAGAATTTCACCCATATAGGCAAACGATGGAGAAGATGCAGCAGTTCATCTCAAGAAATGGGTTCTGTATCTAATGGCTCACAAATATTTTCAGGCCATTTCCACCGGATCTCCACCACCTGCAACAATTGAGTTTTTATTTGTCACTTTTTGTTGAACATTGAAAATTAGTCAAATTATATATTTTTAAGGTTTTATTTAAAAACAAACATATTATAGTTCTATAATATACTTGGTTTGATATATTTGTGATTTGAATAATTACATTTACAAAAGATGTTTTAGTTTTACAATAAATTTAAATGTCAAGATAAATTTATATATAAATGGGCGACCACAATTATATTTGACGTTGTAGACTTTTAGCATGAAATACATTCAAAGTTGAAAAGTGTTTGTTGATGACTTACGTTTCATCGCTAATAGTTTCAAGTGACAATATAAAGTACCGTCATGTATACTTTTAAACGACGCATATAGAGATTACGTCGTATTAACTTTAGGTGACACAACTATATTTTATCGCACTACATGTTAGGAAACAAAACGTACACATTTTGTCGTTGTATATTTTAAGCGACGCATAAAATTATAATGTCGTTATTAACTTTATGCAACAAAAATGCACATTTCGTCGCAGTATATTATAGGCGAGCAAAATTCACATTTTGTCGTGGTATACGTTAAGCGACAAAAACACATATCTCGTTGCGGTATAAAGTAGGCGACACAATAGAGAGTACGCCGCTATTAACTTTAGGCGACAACATTTAATATTTCACCGGTAATTAGATTTAGCGACGAAAACGGTATAGGCGACAATGTTTTGGTTTGTCGCCAGATTTAGCGACGAATTTTAACAAATTGTCACCTAAAATCAAGCGCGACATGCCTACTGCGACGATCATGGCGACGATTTTCTTTCGTCGCTAAATGTATACCGCAACAATTTCTAGGATTTTAGCAACAAAAAAATTCGTAGCTAAAATGTATAGACGGCAAATTTGACGACGAATGATGACATAAGAGAGGAGACAGAAGAGAACGACAAAATCAAAATACCCAATTCGATTTTTCCCAAAGATTAATCCTAATATTGTAGTACTAAAATATGAAATTTTTGTAACTATAACTCTATTAAGTTATAACCTCCTCATAGTAATAAAATTAGTTAATTCTACTAAAATTAGTTAATTCTACTATTATGAGTATAGAGAAGTTTTACTCTGTGTGTGTATATATATATAAAGAGAGTAAAACCTCTATATATAATGTACTGACCAAGTGGGGGCCTCCACCCACTTCAACACGTCACCCACGTGTATGCAAAATTAAAATAGATCTCCCATTCTTTAGTGATATTTGTTTCAATCTCAGTTCTAAAACAGGTTTCATCCCAAGTACTCGACCTTGGTTTTCATTAGGTTCTGAATCCAATTCTGGTTCTTGCATGTGCAAGAATCGAATCCACACAGTATCGATTCCGAAAAATTAGAACTAAAACTAACCTTATGAAAGTCGATTCCGAGTAGATTCTGGTTCTAGTTTTGGTTCTACCTATCAATTCTGATTCTACCCGCTACCCTGCTCACCCCTATCAATGACATTTATCATATAAATTTACTGTAAAAATTAAAATAAATAAAACAAAAAAGAATGATAAATTAAGTTTCACGAAGTAGAGCTTACCTAACCACATTAAATATTTATCCCTCACATTAATGAAGCAATCCCAAGATATGCCAAACCATTTCCAACGTACAAATATTCAAACCTTCAATGAGATATGTTTATTTATTCATCCTCCACCCAAGTTTTTAGGATCTTATCTTAGAGAATTAGAAGAACAGCAGTACTAGGTGTCAGCCTAGTACATTAATTGAAGAGTAATGTTACATTTACACCATCCATTACACCATTTTCATTACACCATGATGTGGCATATCCCACATCCACACAAATTTTTAATTATTTTGAATTTTTAATATTATAATAAAATAATTATTAGTAAAATGGTGATGGTGTAATGAAAATGATGTAATAGGTGGTGTAAATGTAGCATTACTCTTAATTGAATTATTAGATTTTTATTTAAAAAAAAAATACCATAACGTAAATCGCTTAATTGATAAGTATCATTTAATTATCATCACTTGTAACTAATATGACCAAGAATCTTATTTCTAATCCCTTGTTTGATTCATATAGTAGTAATATAAAGAATATGAATCTTATTCATTCGTAAACGGCGTAGTAACATTCCTTCCAAATTTGGGAGGAATGGTAGTGGATGTCAAAAATATCAAATTTACTCTTGTAATTTTCCATTTACTCCTAAATTAATATATGTAAATTTAAAAATGTTGATAACAACTATTGCAGGTAACGTCTTTATGACAATTATTGGCGGTTGAGATCTACCTAGTTGGACAGATTGGTGGTGGTCTCTAATTCGTCGGCCGGCAAGTTTGACTGAGGTTGATAGGTTTGAAAAAATTCGAAATTTTTTCAAACTCGTTTTGAAGGATTTTGAAATAGTGTAAATTTTAGAATTTTGTAATTTTATATTTAAATAAAAAATATATATATTTATTCAATAAAATAATATTTATTCAATAGAATTAATATTTATTAAATAAAAATGAAGGGTATTTTCGTCGAAAAGTAACAAATTAGTTTCCATTCCATCAACATTCTAATTATAAGCTAACAAGGTAATGATGTTCTATTCATCCATAATACTTTCATTCTATTGATTTCCCTTCATAATATTTTTATTCATTGATTCCTAATTCATAAATCAAATATGGCCTAAGGGTGCATTTAGTACGGTTTGTTTAATTAGAATGAAATTTATGAAAAAAAATTTGTGAAAATTTTTGTAATTATTTGGTTAGAAAAATGTAAAAAACAAAAAAAAAAAAAAAGTATTCTAATATTTATTTACCAAAAAAAAAAGGCTTTAATATAGAAAAATCACATGAAATCAAAGTTATACAATAAAATAAAAATATTTTTGAAATTTAAAAATACTTTTTTGGTTATGAGTTTTGATTTTAATATCAATAAGTTTAATAGATAATAAAAAGTTATAAAATGAGTAAGTTTATAATTAATAGATAATAAAAATATTAAAAGGAATTTAATAATATGATTCAAATTTGGAAGATGAGAAGGTTAGAACATTAATGATAAAGACATGAAGATTTGGTAAACTTAATACATTGAGGTAACAAGTGGTCCATCCAAATTTGTCTTCGGGCGTTGCACTTGTAACTTATAATATATATATAAATAGGTACATTTTATTAATCAGTTTCAGTAATGCTATTCTTAAGAGGCATGTAACTGATTAGATCAATAAATTAATATTTTATTACATCTCATTTTAACTTACTAATTAAATGCAACAAAAATTTCCCAATCCATGATAAAAATACATTTTTTTCTTGAATATTTATAAATAATGCAAAATAGGCTTCCAAATCACATGCCTGCTCCTCAAATGAACCAATTGTTGCTCAACATTTCATACGCTTGCTCAACTTACGAGGATTTTTTTAAATCATCACTCGGTTGTATAATCTCAAAGGTTGTAATGGTGAAAGTTATAACGATCTTATCGAATTTACGGCAATTTTTTAGTAAAACGTAGAAAGAATAATAAATAAAAAAATAATAATGTTAATGTATCATACATCAGCAAATCTCACACTGAAATATTGTTGTGATAAAGAAAAATGAGGCAGTTGGGTGTGTGCTGTCCAGTTTTACCTTCCCTAGTATAGTAAACGTACTTTTCTCCACCCAAATAATGATTTAGTGACACTTTTTTATCCACAGACTTTTAAAATATCATTTTGTTATCCAAATTTATATTCGGTTTTGATTCTATCATTGTTACAATCTTACACCATCACTATTTTCTTTTTGGATCATCACTCATCATAACTCCTCAAATCTTACTCTTGCCAACCTTGCAAATCACCAGCAATCGAGCGATTAGAGTTTGTGCAGCCACCCTTTGCAAGTCAAATTTCAATCAATCTCAGTCATTAAAATCCAACCTTCTACCATCAAAAAACTTATCGACATTTCCTCTTCACAAGATCCAACAACTTGAACTGAATTTACTCTCTATTCGTCACCAAAATATAAATATAAATAGTAAAATGATATTTTAAAAGTATACAATTAGAAACGTGTGATTAAACTATTATTTGAGTGGGAAAAAGTCGTTAACTCTCCCTATTATTCAAGATGATGCCATGAATATAGATGAATGAATTGGTGGACCTAATTCAGTTAATTGTATTTGTATCAATGGAATGGATATGGACCCAACCCAATTTAAAATGTTTGGTAGGAAAAAATGTTACCCCTATTTATTATTTTATATTTGGTATAATGTAATGTACTTCATCCTGGATTAAATAATATTAATTGTTGCATGTATTTCCCAATAACTTCCTTATTTTTATTTAAAAAATTATAAATAGCAATTATTAATTAAGTAAAAACCAGAAAAATAAAAATGGAAAATACTAAATAGAAAGAAGTCAGTGTAGAGCGAGCTAGTCAGGCCGGTTCAAGCGATCCACCCTATTCTCACGCAAAGGTTCTTCTGTCTTTGGCTCTTTGCCCACCCACAAGACTCAGAACCAAAAGACTTATTCCCTTACATCATCAACAAACGACTTCTCTTTTCCCGTCTTCCCTCTAAACAATATTCACAACAACATTAACTACCACTCTTCTTTTCCCATTCATTTAAATTTTCTTCATTATTTTCTCACATTTTCTTGCCTTTTTCTTTCTGGGTTTGTCAGCCCAGATTGGATTTCATCTGGGTTTTCAATATTTTGAGGGCTGGTTTTCTGGTTCAGGACAATGCAGAGAGATACACCTACAATTATGAGGTTCTTTTGGCCTTCTCGGAATTGAATGTTTTGCACATTATTGATGGACATTGTTATTCTTGTTTGATTGTTTCACATCTTTGGCTTATGGCGGATAATGTATGATTTCATTTTAGGAATCTTTCTTAATGTTCTATCAATTCCATGTTTTTCTTAGTTGTTCATTGTTGATCTTTTTGGACCATTATGGCAGTGGCTGAGAGGAATGCTTCTTCTTCCGTTGTGATTATTTCTCGAAACTGTTTGTTTAGTTTGTTCCTAATATCAACCATTTTTTTCTCATTGTCTTGGTTCTATGTATTGCGTTCCACTGGCACCCATCATCTTGTTGAGGCTGGTTCATTAACCAATTCCAAGCCCCTTACTGTAATAGACAATAGCAGAAATAATTTACAGGAAGAAAAAGAGTTATTTCGAAAGAAATATGACGCGAAATGCAGTAAAGATAATGAATTGTTGCTTAAGGTTTATATGTATGATTTGAACCCGGAGTTTCATTTCGGACTCTTGAACTGGAAACCAGAAGGGGGTAGTGTTTGGCCTGACATTAGAGTCAAAATACCCTCATATCCTGGTGGGTTGAACTTGCAACATAGTATAGAATATTGGCTTACCTTGGATCTTCTAGCTTCAGAGGTTTATGATAAGCGGGAGGCTTGTAGTGTGATAAGAGTTCGCAACTCGAGTGAAGCTGATGTAATTTTTGTGCCATTCTTTTCTTCATTGAGCTACAACAGGTTTTCAAAAAGGCATCCAAATGAAAAGAAGAGCCAGAACAAGGTGTTGCAAGAGAAGTTGGTGAAGTTTTTGACTAGTCAAGAGGAATGGAAGAGAAGTGGTGGAAAAGATCATATAGTCGTGGCTCACCATCCTAATAGCCTGTTAGATGCTAGGTTGAAGCTGTGGCCTGCAATGTTCATTCTTGCAGATTTTGGGAGGTATCCTCCCAATATAGCAAATGTTGAAAAAGATGTGATTGCGCCTTACAAACATGTGATCAAATCGCATTTCAATGATGCATCAGAGTTTGATAGCCGTCCAATTTTGCTGTATTTCCAAGGAGCCATATACAGAAAAGATGTAAGTTTCCATCGCATCTAACATGAGGTAAGTCAAGTTACATAAGTAGCAATATCAAGACACACCGTACCTTTACAAGCTACCCTTCCTTCTTTGATACACTTTCAAACCTAGGGCTCTACTGGGAGAACTCCTCATATTTAACCAAATTATGAATTTGGCTAACACAATCTTTAATCTCGCTAAGACATCCTTCACAATCAAATTCAAAATATGATTTGGCATCTCAATGAAAATGGTCACCATTTAGAATTAAAGCATTCCTATCCACCAATCCTCAAGCAAGTCATTGCCACATCATTAGCATTGCATTATCCACCATTATATTGGACACTTTTTTCAATTCCTGGTCAATAATACACTTCTTCACTATCTCCCAGTCTCCCTACCCTTGTGACTATATTCTCACAAAACTCATATTCTCTTATGTAGAACCCATTTCTCGTCAATGAAATGACTAGTGAGACATAAGTAGCTATAATTCTGAATAGACTCCATATATCGGTTGTCAAAGCAATTCTAGATTTGAAAAACCACAACTTGTTCTCGAATGAAACTTTCTCAAAGGTAGATCTTTGAACGATCCCTTGCCACTGTGAAATGGTCCATAATGGTTGCATTGCTCTTAGAAATCTTCTACATGGATGTTCAATTTTTAAAGGATCTTCCATAATAATTAACATTTCAGCAAGCAAGTGGCCACACTCCTCTATATTAAATCTCCAAGTACCAACCTCACTACTATGCCCTGCTTCCTTCTATTGTCTTGAAAGGCAGGAAGTGTCTATGACATCTACATTGTGAGGAAACTTTTTGCAACTTGTAGGTGCTTGCACGTCGAATAATTGCCATTAGCCACACTATACATCAAGGTCTTATCACAATACATGCACTTTGTCTGGTTCTCTCATTAACAATCTTCTCAAAATGTTGCCACACCTCGGACTTGGCATTTGGCTTAGGTTGTGGAGGCCTATTTGAAGTTGACTCTACACAACTAGTTTGGCTCATCCTAAGCTCAATGTTTTTTTCTAGTTGAGGACATTGTTCCTGCAAAGATTACATATAAAAGAATTATTTAACTATATAAAGAATTAACAATTATCTAATACCCAGCTTAATCATATGATTAAAGATTAATAATTGAGATTTACTTCAGCTGAGAACATGTATACAATGAAAGGATATATTTTAGTATTAATAAGACTACCATTAATCTTATGGCAAACATAATCAGGGTCGAAAAAATGTGCATGCATTTACAAATAATAATTAATTTCATTTCAAAGTAATTCTCTCTTTGTAGCAGTTCAAGCTGCTAGGCACCACAACATTCAAATTCATATTATTTTATTTGCATTTCAAAATACTCATGCAACTATGATATTAATCACTCTTCAGAATCTCACGCAATCACACAAAACCAATGCAAACTAGCAGGGGGAAATGGCCAAGCAACGATATAAAAACTGAAAGTTTTAATTCCTTTACCAAGTGAATTAAACCTAAGCGGAATGGGTTGCTAAGTTGATTTTAGTGTTGATTCTTCATCATTGTCAAACAATTAACCATGCAATAAAATAAAGAACACTAGGGGTTTTTACATAGTTCGGCAACATGCCTACATCCAGGTACCAAGTCCAAATGAAGCCAATCCACTATGGCGAGCATTTTATTTCAATTACAAAGCCAAAGTTAAGCATCAATTGCAAGAACACTCTCGTGTTTTGCAATGTTTCAAACTCCACCCTTTGGTCGAACTTCGAACACCACAGCAAGCTCCATGTTCACGAGACCACCTAGTCAGTTTTGAGCTCCTCTCAAGTATCAACACCGAAGACGCACTTCAGATCCAAAGCTTGAATTCCCATCAAGCAACACCAATGGAAACCCACGTTCCAGCCATGACCATAAACAAAGTTTATCAAAGGTATTTGTAAGCCTACCTAGGTCATATGAAACCTGATTCAACAAAAGAAACCTCAAGGAATTTCAGGCTTATATCAGAGGAATAATCAGGCTTGAGAAAAATTGCATTAGAGAGGACTTATATAAAAAATAGTTTATTCCATATCAAGATGCCACCTATCAAAGAGAATAAAACTTTCCACACATTGAATATAAATTTGACAAGTGTTATGGACCACACAAATATCTCATAAGAGATAAACAGTTCATGCATTCTAGAAGCAAACCGTGTTACCCAATAAATCTGCCAGATACATGTAGTCACTTTGCTCAAAGTGCTCACTCGATATAGCAGATAACCACATAAGAGAATGTGGTAACTTAAACTGAGGTAGTCATACTGGAAATTTAAACAAAATGATTGTGCAATATTCAAAGTGAAGTGTTCTACCATGACTAGTGTTACACCACTAAATCATAAGTTAACAAATAACTTACAAAAACAACTAGTGTAATAACATTTTAGTAAACACAATGAATAAGTGTAAGGAGATTACACTCATAATCTTAATTAATTAGGATTTATTCGTGATAAGTTCATAACATTTAAGTAACACAAATGAATAAGTATAGCAAATTTCATAAATCCTAAAGCTAGTGTTCAACAGAATGTCTATTGAAACAATGCAAAACCAGCAGGGAAAATGATGAAGCAATGTATAAAAACAGCAAAAGGAGTAAAACATATAAACAAATAACTAACAACTCAATAAGTGTTCATCTCATAATTAAAGCTTTGTGCTTTATTTACAAAGGCATGATTAAACTTTGAAAGACAACCCAATAAAACAATAAATTAGAACCTTTGGTTCCGTCACGTTGTCGAGACTCGAGAGTAATGGCGGTGGTCCGATCGAATGTCACTCGAAAGTAACATCAGATCATCATTATCAGGAGTTCGACTTGCTAGAAGTATATAAAAACACTAACACAAATATAGTATTACCAACATCAAACCACACACTTCAACGGCAAGTATCCCTCCGAGAAGCATAGTTGAAGTTCCAGCAACACGGTCGGTCCCTCGCTTTACCTTCGCTAGAGAGAATGGCGAGTAGATGGCAGATTTGACGACGAATGATGACATAGAGAGGAGACAGAAGAAGAACACAAAATCAAAATACCCAATTCGATTTTTCCTAAGATTAATGCTAATATTGTCACTAAAAATAGAATTTTTGTAACTATAACTCTATTACGTTATAACCTCCTCATAGTTAAAATTAGTTAATCTCCTATTATGACTATAAAGGTTTTACTCTATGTGTGTATATATATATATATATATAAAGATAAAACACTATAATATATGTACTACCAAGTGGGGGCCTCCACCCACTTCAACACGTCACCCCACGTGTATGCAAAATTAAAATAGATCTCCCATTCTTAGTGATATTGTTTCAATCTCAGTTCTAAAACAGGTTTCATCCCAAGTACTCGACCTTGGTTTTCATTAGGTTCTGAATCCAATTCTGGTTTTTCATGTCAAGAATCGAATCCCACACAGTATCGATTCCGAAATTAAACTAAAACTAACCTTATGAAAGTCGATTCCGAGTAGATTCTGGTTCTAGTTTTGGTTCTACCTATCAATTCTATTCTACCCGCTACCCTGCTCACCCCTATCAATGACATTTATCATATAAATTTACTGTAAAAATTAAAATAATAAACAAAAAAATGAAAATTAACTTTCGCGAAGTAGACGTTACCTAACCACATTAAATATTTATCCCTCACATAATGAAGCAATCCCAAGATATGCCAAACCATTCCAACGTACAAATATTCAAACCTTCAATGAGATATGTTTTTATTCATCCTCCACCCAAGTTTTTAGGATCTTATCTTAGAGAATTAGAGAACAGCAATACTAGGTGTCAGCCTAGTACATTAATTGAATTATTGATTTTTATTTGAAAAAAAATACCATAACGTAAATCGCTTAATTGATAAGTATCATTTAATTATCATCACTTGTAACTAATATGACAAGAATCTTATTTCTAATCCCTTGTTTGATTCTATAGTAGTAATTAAAGATATGAATCTTATTCATTCGTAACGGCGTAGTACCATTCCTTCCAATTTGGGAGGAATGGTATGGTTGTCAAATATCAAATTTACTCTTGTAATTTTCCATTTACTCCTAAATTAATATGTAAATTTAAAAATGTTGATAACAACTATTGCAGGTAACGTCTTTATGACAATTATTGGAGGTTGAGATCTACCTAGTTGACGATTGGTGGTGGTCTCTAATTCGTCGGCCGGCAAGTTTGACTGAGGTTGATAGGTTTGAAAAAATTCGAAATTTTTCAAACTCGTTTTGAAGGATTTTGAAATAGTGTAAATTTTAGAATTTTGTAATTTTATATTTAAAATAAAAATATATATATTTATTCAATAAATAATATTTATTCAAAATAATTATATTTATTAATAAAATGGGGTATTTCGTCGAAAAGTACAATTAGTTTCCATTCCATCAACATTCTAATTATAGCTAACAAGGTAATGATGTTCTATTCATCCATAATACTTTCATTCTATTGATTTCCCTTCATAATTTTTTATTCATTGATTCCTAATTCATAAATCAAATATGGCCTAAGGGCATTTAGTACGGTTTGTTTAATTAGAAGAAATTTATGAAAAAAAATTTGTGAAAATTTTTGTAATTATTTGGTTAAAAAATGTAAAAAACAAAAAAAAAAAGTATTCTAATATTTATTTACCAAAAAAAAAAGCTTTATATGAAAAATCACATGAAATCAAAGTTATACAATAAAATAAAATATTTTGAAATTTAAAAATACTTTTTTGGTTATGAGTTTTGATTTTAATATCAATAAGTTTAATAGATAATAAAAGTTATAAATGAGTAAGTTTATAATTAATAGATAATAAAAATATTAAAGGAATTTAATATATGATTCAAATTTGGAAGATGAGAAGGTTAGAACATTAATGATGAAGACATGAAGTTTGGTAAACTTAATACATTGAGTGACCAAGTGGTCCATCCA